AGACACTGCGAGCCCGATTAGTCTTATTAAAGCACATCTCGTATCATACCAGTCAAATATTAGAATCGAGGAACGAGCGTTACGAGGGGATAAACGATTCGGCTTTACAAGTTCAAGGCATGACCGCGGCAAAGATCGCTTTCGAAAATGTAAGCGCGAGTAATATAAATTTACGGATAGTTCCAGATAATACTATGAGATGCGATGTACTGTTAGGCAGAGACGCGATTAAGACGTTAGGCCTTTATTTAACGAAACGACCGTTAGAAGAAACGTTAGAACATGCGGTAAGCGAAATATTAAGTATCGAAAGGCACGAACTTGATAATAGCGACGTGGGCGAATTTAAGATAAATCCGGACCTACCTTACGCGACGCGGAGCAAGTTTTTGGAAAGCTTTCAGTCAGATTACGTGCAAGCGAAGAGACCGACGGAACCGAAAGTCAGAGCTGAATTAGAACTGCACGTTAAGGATAAGCAGTCTTTTCATTTCGCACCTAGTAGGCTTTCAGTGGAAGAAAAAGAAAATTTACGGGAAATCTTGAATGACTTAAGTGACCGAGGAATAATCTGTCCAGGAAGTTCAGAATACGCGTCGAGAACAGTCTTAGTACGAAAAAAAGACGGAAAAATACGTATGTGCATAGATTACCGCGCGTTAAATAGAATAACGGTGAGAGACAACTTTCCGTTACCGATTATAGAAGAGCAAATTGACGCATTGCACGGGAAACGCTATTTTACATCGCTTTAAGAGACGGATTTCATCATGTTTTTATGGCAAAGAATAGCATAAAGTACACGGCCTTTGTTACACCGTTTGGACAATTTGAATATCGGAAAATGCCCTTTGGCCTAAAGAACGCACCGTTTTCAGCGGTGTATTAACGAAATTTTTAGCGACCTGATAAAAGAAGGAAATGTCGTTGTCTACATGAACGACTTTCTCATTGCGACAGAAACGATCGAACAACATTTTAACACTTTGCCGGCCGCTGTCACGTACGCGTGACTTTTGCTCGCCGACGGTTATCGGCCGCTGTCATGTACGCGTGACTTCGGTTTAGCGCGGCAACAATGTTTCCACTATGCTTCTGTTTTAACTATCCCGATTGTCTTTTCTTGACATTCTTTAATATCACCGTCGGCGAGCAGTAGAACCCGCGCGAAATTCGCCGGCGGCAGCGTAAAGGTGACGAGGTGAGAAGTAAGCGGCCGGCAAAGTGTTAAAGTACTGCGTCAAGTTTATAGAATACTTGTAGAAAACTTATTACAGTTGCGTTTAGATAAGTGCAAATTCCTTTACCAAAAAATTGAGTTTTTAGGTTATGCGATTACGGCGGAAGGTGTACGTCCGAACGATTCAGGTATCGTTGCGGTGAAAGACTTTCCGACTTCCAGATGTGCTCGTGACGTTCAAAGTTTCTTGGGGCTATGCTCCTACTTTAGAAAATTTATTAGAAACTTCTCATTGATTGCTGGACCATTATATGACTTAGTACGAAAGAACGCGGTATTTGAATTTGGGTCGAAGCAGACGGATGCATTTGAGACGTTAAAGGATAAGTTAACTTCGAGTCCGATCTTATCCATCTATAGTCCGAGCGATGAAACTGAGCTCCACTACGACGCAAGCATGCAAGGTTTCGGTGCAGTGCTCTTGCAGCGGAAGGCTGACGGGAAATTTCACCCGATTTTTTATTTTTCGAAAAGGACATCAGAGGCTGAGGCGAGATACCACGAGCGAGATAGTTACGAGCTCGAGACACGCGCGATAATTTACGGTATAAAGAGGTTTCGCATTTATTTGCAAGGAATCCGATTTAAGACAGTTACCGATTGCAACGCGCTGATTTTAACATTGAACAAAAAAGATATTAATCCCAGGATTGCCCGATGGGCTCTTGAACTACAAAATTATGATTATACGACTGAACACCGACCCGGGAAAAGAATGCCTCATGTAGATGCGTTGAGCCGCGTAAACAATATTCTGGTCATAGAAGCAAACACGTTCGAGTTCAATTTAGCAGCTTGTCAGTCACGCGATCAGCGGATTGCCGAATTACGAGCACGTCTGGAAGAAGGACAAGACAATCAGTGATCATGAGATGAGGAACGGACTCATATACCGAAAGAGGAAAGACAAAATATTGTTTTACGTCCCTCGAGCGATGGAGCAGGAATTACTCCATAAGTATCACAATGATTTCGGGCACTTCGGAACGGAAAAAACTTATGCATTGCTGCGCGAAACGTACTGGTTTCCCGAGATGAAAGACAAGATCAGGGAATTACATAAAGAATTGTCTTAAGTACCTTGCTTTTACGAAACCGTCAGGAAAAGTGGAAGGATTTATGTTCGTAAATGTAAAGAAAAGGGAAGTGTCCCCTTCGAGACGATACACGTAGACCATTTCGGCCCGGTAGATAAAACGAATGCGGCAAAAAAATATGTATTTGTTATTGTAGATGCGTTTTCCAAGTATGTACGATTTTATGCGGTAAAGACGACTACTACACGCGAAACAATCAGATGTCTCAAAAATTATTTTAGCGTTTACAGTCGACCAAAGATTCTGATATCCGATCGTGGTACGTGCTTTACATCGAATGAGTTCGAAGAATTTATGAATAAAGCGAACATCAAACATATAAAAGTGGCTACCGGATCTCCACAGGCAAATGGCCAAGTCGAGCGATACAACCGTATTTTAGGACCGGCCTTAGGAAAGTTGTACGATGGGAAACACTGGGATAAACCATTAGAAGAGATCGAATTCGCCATTAACAACACCGTAACGCCCGTGTCACACTACAGATTGAAGACCAAGGATTGCGGATTGAAGATTGAAATTTGACCAATCGGAATAAAGCAAATCAAAACCGAAGTTCGTTGATTTGTCGAAATCTAATCTTCAATCCGCAATCCTTGATCTTCAATCCGTAGTGTGACACGGGCTTTAGTCGAGTCACCGGCGAGACGCCTAGCCGACTGCTGTTCGGAGCAGCACAACGCGGTCAAATAGTCGATAATTTGCGCGAATATCTAGAAGAACAGTCCGAATTAAAACCAAGAGATCTTACGCAAATGCGATCAACGGCAGCGGATAAAATTGTAAAAGCGAGCGTCTACAGCGAAATTAATGTAAATAAAAAGCGAAAACCCGCGGAAGAATATGAAGAAGGAGACCTTGTCGTGGTTAAGAATTTTGAGACCGCGGGAGGAAAATTAAGTCCAGCCTATCGCGGACCGTATCGTATAGTGCGCCGGCTAAGAAATAATCGATATGTTATCCGAGACATCGAGGGATGCCAAATATCCCCGAGACCGTACCAAGGTACGTGGGAAGCGGCGAATATGAAGCCATGGCTGAAAGATCGTAGTCCAGGAAGTTTGCAAGAAATTGATTTCGAAGCGGAAGATAGCGAGTAAGAGGCAAGTGGCCGAGGACGGCCTGTTGTCAGGCTGGCCGAAACTGTAGTAATCTTAGGAGCGAGACGCGAATTTTTGTTTTCCTGAACGAGATGCAGATTCTGGGTAACAACTGCTAGACGCCGATTCCTAGAAACACGTGCGAAGCATGGTAGCGCACGACGAGCGCGCGAAGGGTACGACGACCAATCGCTCGCGGGAGGAGAAAAGCTTCTTCCTCCGCGAAAACAAAGGAAGATGCGAGCGGACAGCGGTCCGACCAGTATTGCCAACTTGGCTTATTTTCCGTCATTTCTAGCTTTTTTAAATAACGCTTAGCATACAAAAATTGCGGTTTAGCTGTTGACGTATTTTCTGGATTTTTTAAAAATTGAAACGGCGGATTTTTTCTCCAGAATAAGTTAACTTTTTTTTATTAAATTAGAATGAGGCGTTATTAGGTGTGATTTGTTGTTATTGAAAAGAGTTAATTATAATTAAATAATATATATTATTTAACATTACATGATTAAATTTGTGTATGTTTGCACTAGACAGATTTGAAAACAATTTTATTTCTTACTAGATGTGCCATTTTTTATTACTTGCGTCTTTTTTGCTTATTTTTTAAAGATTATACTTGTCAATGAATATTCTAAAGACCAATATTCCAGCAAGAGTGTTTTCCAACAGGAACATGTTACATTTGTGCTACTATACTATACTGTATAAAATAATAATTGGAACGCAGTTTATATCAAACTTATTTTTTTAATGTAACACAAAGTGTTACGCAATTTCCTATTGTTATTTTTATGAGTATTTAGCATATCTACAATAGCATAGACATATGTTTAATTATATATATTTATTTTTTCATATTTCATTTTATTATAAGCAGTATTATATACGCGGTATATATATATAATATCGCATATATAATACTGCTTATAATAAAATGAAATATGAAAAAAAAATATATATATATATATAAATATATATATATAAAAGCGATATTGTATCAATAATATAATATAATTATATTATTATGAATAAAATTAATCAACAATAAAACTAATTATGTATTTATTTTAATTCCTTTCTTAAAAACATATGCACACGTATACATAGCGCGCATATACATAGTGCACACATACACACACACATTTATTAATTTTAGCTTATTTCTGGAGTTTTTTGGAGAAGCATTTGACGGATTTTAAAATTCAGAGTTGGCAATACTGGGTCCAACAGTCTAGCCTAGCCCTTGGCCCCAGTAACATGTAAATCGAAATATATCGCCCTAATTACTTTACGTTTCAGTATCTTGTTTCCGAAAGAGCCGTTATTATTTACGAGACCACCCACCCTCTCCCACAATTCTGTACGTCGGAGAAATGTATAAGCGTCTTTCGTCTAATAGAGCTAGCGTGTCTGTATGCGGCAATGTGCTCGCGACTGTGCGTTTCCTCGTTGGCGAATTCAATTTTGCGCCCGGCAGAAAAATTCTTTCTGAGTAACGTTTACCGTGGAGCCGTTACCCGTAACTTTGTCAATGAGACGAAAATTCATTTGCGTACTCACTTTTCAATCATATCCATAGGCGGTACCTTCCTTCCTGGTATAGCGATCTTCTCATATTTGACGCCAGCCTTTGTAAATTCCTACAACAGACACGTCAACGGTGTGTGAAGAATCGTGTATTGTTACGTAACGAAAGCAGTGTGGTCCTCCACGCAGCATGAAATGCAGACCCATTGATCGAACAGGGGTGTATAATTTGTTCGGTCGAGCTATTGTCCTCTTAAATCGCCCCGGAGGACTGCTGTTTTTAGCATCGCTAATAATTGTCACGCGCCAAACCATCGGTTACAAACGACGCGGGTAATTATCAAATGCGCCTCCGAGCGCAAGCGCGTCGTTTAACATTTTTGTAAAACTGAAAATATCGGACCTTACGAAGCTCGCAGAAGAGAAAAATGTGACCGTGGACGTAATCGACGCGAACGAAAGCGAGACTCACAGTCGTATCTCGTAAAACCTATATTTCGTATCTCGAAAAATTCTTGGCACAGGCGTATCCGCCAACGAGTGCTGCATATTCATGAATCTCTCTATTATTTGACTCTAGTCGGTCTCTCCTCGGACCTCAAACGCATTGCTAACGAATCGAGTTTTAAACGAGAGGGAGAAACCGCTAAATAACATAAAAATCGGGCGTTTCGAAGAAGACGCGAGTAACGTCCGCGCAAACTCACGTGTAATCGGACAAGATAAATAAATAGATTATTACGGTATTTTGTGCCGTGAGATACGGTAACACGTGTATCGTTATATAACAGAATAATGAAGAGAAAAATTTCACTTTACGAGATCGATGGCGTAATTCTAACCCGTTGTTAACGAAAGATATCAAGTTGGCAGTTACCACTCGTTTTTCCACCCTAATGACAGATCACGTCATAATAATCGATCTTTGCGGCTTTTAGTGAGATATTAGAAACTCGATCTTGACTCGATCGCCACAGTGTCGTTCTTAAAGCTATTTCGAGTTTATTTTCCTCTCCCCGACCATTGATAATACCTAGAAAATTCTTTCGCACACCCGAGAGTACCTGCGGCTCTCAATCTTGACGAAAATCGAATCTTGACAAAGAAGAGACAAGATTATGACTCCCGAAAGCGCCGTGGAATCTCAGGAAGACTCTATACGTAAATTCCTCCATATTTTCACTGAGGCATGTCTTCCAATCAAGATAATATGTACCACAGAGAGTGTCACGAGATGCGTATGTGTGTGCGTAGTTTGGATGTAAAAATTTACGTGGTAGAAATTTTCAAAATTAGAAGAGCATAAACCAACATTCTCCTCGACACCGTCGATAACATCTGCTCGAGCCGCGGCGAGGACGCGAGGTCCTTTGTCTCTACAAAGATGATCTCGTTTCCCCGTGACATCGTGACCACGAGTCGGGAAATTAAAGGACCAACTGGGAGCTTCATTATACATGTATAATGAAGCTCTAATTAGGCGTGGGTGACACCGGCAGATCTCTCTGTTAATTATCGTTGGCCCTGCGGCGCCATTGATGCTCACGATGCACGTGATTACACGCGAGCGAGCGTGTATGTGTGTGTGTGTGTCCGCGCGTGGTGTATTTTAAAATATATCTCCCTAGTGGAGAATATATTCGTCGCTATCCTCGCGTGGCAAATGGCTGTCCAAACGTCGGCCGGGCCGGGACAAAAAGCGGAAGATGGAGTGACCGAACCGACTCGACGACTTATTAATATAATTGATCGGTCTTCGACCCTGACAGCTTTGACCCAGAAAGAGCGCGCGCGCGGACACATTCTCGCAGACCGGCTCGGAACGTCCGTCGGCCGGCCGATCGAGAGAGAGTCGTTGGCAGACGGTCTCTCTATTCCAAAAATCTAATAATAAGTTCATTAGCTCGCGGTCCCTCTGCCCTCGCTACAAATTGCTCGGACCTCTCTCTCTCTCTCTCTCTCTCTCTCTCTCTCTCTCTCTCTCTCTCTCCCTCCCTCTCTCTCGAGCGCTCTTAAATACTCAATAAAGTCGGAACTGACCCCGATGCGATATTAGGACGTCGGGCGCGAGGTCGAGAGCCGGAGAGTGAAAAAACGCGAGGGCGGGCCAGGTGAAGTGAAGCTGGAGGGAAGATATGATAGACGAACGGAGATAACAGGGACGGTCATCGAACGATGAAGTTCGGAAGAGAAAGAGAGAAGGAGAAAGAGAGATAAAGAGAAGCTGGATATCTGCTCGATCAAGGAATGCAGCAGGTGACAGCTCGCGGGGGGACGAGAAGAGAAGACGTCTCTTGTCTCGAGTTACTGAGAGGCAGCAGGGGGAACGCGCGCGTGCATAAACAAAGCGAATTACGACTCGAAACTCGAACGATACGCGATACGCGTCGAATTAAATTCGCGGTGTAATATCAGCGCAGTCTCATCAGACGGTATCGCCCGCATGCGGCCGCTCTTTAACAACGGCGCGGCATCTCGGACAATTTATTCCCGCGCGCGACAATGATGATTTTACGATCGTACTACTATCGTGCCGCGCGAATCGTCAAACACGTCGCGCGAACGTCGCTGTCGCTTCACGAGTCGAGCTGAGTCGTTTCGGGGCTTGACAATAGCTCGATCAATACGAGGCAGTTTGGAGACATCCGATAATGATACGAAGCTCATATCTGTGTATGTGTGTGTGTGTGTGTATGCGCGCGCGCACGCCTTACCTTTTTGTCGTAGTAGCGAAATGTGTTTGTCAGGTCGACGATGTACTTGAGACGTGGGAAGTCCTGCAGCAGTTTCGCCGTCGTGAATCTGCAACAACGTACATGCTCGGGATTATAACGTGCGCCGCTGAATGGCCTCCCGAATTATCGATCGTTCGTAAATCGCCGCGCCGCTCGAATCGTAAAACGCGTAAGCGCGCGACGTCTTCCTCCGCTCGCGCAGACAGGCTGAAGACGGCGGGATCCTCGGCCGATCTTGAAGACACGTACGCGTAGAGATCCCTTTCGGAAGGGGCGCGATCTGTACGACCGGATGATATATTAAGGGAGCGAGGAATCTCCGAGGTCCCGAGCAAAGGGCTCGGATTAGGCGGGGGTGTCGGCCCAAATAGTTTCACCATCCCTTTCAATATATCAAAATCCTGCGGGAGACGTACCAGGTGCATACATGCGTGCGTGCGTGCGTGCGTGCGTGCGTGCGTACGTGCGTGCGTGCGTGCGTGCGTGCGTGCGTGCGTGCATGCGTGCGTGCGTGCATGCGTGCGTGCGTGCATGCGTGCGTGCGTGCATGCGTGCGTGCGTGCGTGCATGCGTGCGTACGTGCGTGCGTACGTGCGTGCGTGCGTGCGTGCGCGCACGCATAGGTACCGAAACGAACACCGGTCCTGCTTCGCCTTGGACGAGAACGATTCTCCATAAATAAACAACCCTCGCGCGCTCGTGTCCACGGCGAGATGTGTTATTAGAAAAAAGAGAAAGGATCTTACGAAATTTATTAGGATACCAATCGATTTAAAAGCCATTAAACGGCGAGCTAATGTGATCCGTCAGATTTATGTAGCTGACCAGAGTGAGAAGTATCGCGTCCACGAACGTGCACAGCGCCATTATGATCGTTGCTATAATTTCTACGAGCGCCGCGATTTATCGACGAACGAACGAACGAGCGAACGGGTGAGAGAGAGATTCTCTCTTTCTCTCTCTCTCTCTCTCTCTCTTTTTTCTTCTTTTTCTTTTACGCATCGGGTTACACGGCGGCGCGACACCGCTTCGTCGATCTCGCTAATGTGCTTTACTACGCTCATGCATCATCTCCTGTCGACTAGGAGAGAAATCCTGCACCGGGCCCCGTAAATGCGCCGCGGAATATCCGCGGAATGAAAGAGACGATCGGCCATGGTGTTTACACGAGCTCGCCAAACGACAAGTCATCGCGATACTACTCACCGTTGCTCCGGCTCCAGATTCTCGACAATAGCCTGAAACAGAAAGAAAAGAGAGCTCTCATGAGAGAATATCAGGAGAAACGTGAGAGTGAGAAATAATTAATAGCAGCGGCGCTCAGCGGCGGACTCGGCGTGCTCGTTGGTAAAGAGACCGAGAGGAGAGAGACTTTAAACGGCGTCTCTCCGAACGACTTCATCCGCCCGGTGGATGCCACTAATTTAAGTATCTCATCCTTGTAAGGTCCGCACGGATAGACGCAGCCGGCGGGAATGCAAGTCATCCACAGTTTCTGGTAATTAATAGCGCGAGCTTAACAGGCCGCACGAGACGATCGCGCGGCGCGATCACGGATCGCGTACGATTCTAACGAGTGATTGATTGACTCGAGTCTCACGTAACGGCCAACGATACGGCACGGCGACGTCGATGAACACGGAGGAAAACCCTAAAGGCACGCTCCGCTCCGCCCCACGAGGCCGGCGATGACTCGACGCTTGTTACACCGGGCGTTCTCCCCCTCTCCCCCCCTCCCTCGCCCGCCGCTCGCGGCATCGCGTGTCGATATCAAACACGTAGGCTGCTGATTCAATCTCGTCCGTGCACGTAACGTGTCATGACACGTATTTCGCTTTAATATCAAGTCTCAATATCGCTCGTGTCCGCGTGAACGTCTTCGGAAACTGTACATTCGCGGCGTTTAGATCCGAGAGCACGCTCATTAAATGAAATCACCGTCGAACAATTACGTCCAATTATTAATTGTGAGCGAAACTATTTTTCGGGATATGCATGTCTTCGAACAATTGACGACTTTCCCCTCCTCTCTCTCTCTCTCTCTCTCTCTCTTACCACCGATGTGAACCTGGCAAACAACTTAATAAAAAAAAAAAAAAAAATTCTCGATACGGTTCGATTTTACTTCATTTGTACCACTTTTTGTTTCGTTTGTACCTCAAAGGAACCGGAAGTATAGGATCTTGAAAAAATATCCAAGGGATCCTTCCGCCAATTTTTGAGATATCGCGAAACGGCCAACGTCATTCGAAAGAGAATCGTTTGTACCTCAAAGGGACCGGAAGTACGAAAGTAACCTTCCGACATATTTTGAAGATCCTGTACTTCCAGTTCCTCTGAAGTACAGACGATTTGAAAGGAGGTACAAACGGATACAAACGATTTTCTTTCGGATGGCGTTGGTCGTTTTCGGATATCTTATACTTGCTTGCTGGCTGTTTTCCCCCTCCCTCTATCTTTTTATTCTTTGAGATACAAACGAAACAAAGAGCGGTACAAACAGGTACAAACGAAGTACAATCGAACCGTATCGAGAATTTTTTTTTTTTATTAAGTTGTTTGCAGGTTCACATCGGTTCTCTCACCTCCTTCATCATATTCCCTTTGAGCCATTTTCTCGCGAAAATGGAAATACACTTTTGGATCGGGTTTCCGGCATATTTCCACACACAGATAAAATAGACGATGCAATTAAGGTCGGCTATCGGTTGACTGTTTAGCGTGCTTGCAAACAAGCCAGCTGCAAGCGGAACAGCGCTGTGTAAATTGCGCTTAATGCAAGGTTGAGGGTGTAATAATATGGCGTGTATATGCTATGTATACACGTTGATTTTAGATTAACAGGTTGCGGTAGAATGCGGCGCAAGGTAAATTGAAACTTTCGTTAGTCGGCTTGTAGCATCGCACCCGCTATGGGTGGGCTAATGATAATTACGGGTTTAGACGTAGCCATCCGATTGGCTGGGCGGAGAGATCGTATCTACGGATGAGTACGGAATGAGTATCGGTCGCATTAATAACGGACTCGCGGTATAGCTTTCGTATCCGAACGTAATAATCCGACGTTGACTAGGCGTGAGACCTTCTCCTAGGCCTCTTGATGGGCCGGAGTCCTGTCGCTCGCATGTCCCGCGCGTGGAGAAGTCCCGCGTCGTCTCGCAGTTTCGCAATCACCGTGATACAACTGAGAAAAAAAATTTGCAAGCGCGCCAAGTGTAAGCACGTTTACGCACGTGAGGTCAGCTAAAGAAAGTCTCGCATTGCGAAAATGCATCTTTCCTCTTTGATGTGATGTAAACGTGAAAAGAACAATTCAGCAAGTGCTCTTGTTGTGCAATAATAAAATAATGAGGTCTGTGACATCACCGGACAGGTAACGATTAGTATTAACATCTTGGAGACCGCACAACGTTGCGCAGGAACATTCGATCAGAAATTTGCCGAGTCGAAATTCGCGTATTTACGCTCCGAGCAAGGACAGAAGGCGAAGAAGTATAAATGCGAGGATTTACGAGCCTCCTCGGGAGAGGACATTCGCGGCACTCCTCGACGAGAAGTCTGAGATCGGCGGCCGTGGAACGTGGACCGCGATGAACAGAGAGAGAGAGAGAGAGAGAGAGAGAGAGAGAGAGAGAGAGAGAGAGAGAGAGAGAGAGAGAATGAGAACGGGGATGAGAAGAGGAGACGGGAGGAAATGGGAGAGAAGCAGGCAGGTAGCTTTCGGCCACCTGCGAAATTTACTAACCCCGCTTCGCGCGCGCCAGCAGTTTATTTTTCGCACGATATACTCCGTTCCTCGCGGTTGACAGCCGGATCGCTCTCACCGCTGATTCCACCATTCAATTTCACGATCCTTAGTCTAATATATGGCCCCGTCTAAATCAGGATTATCGTCCAGCGGACTGCGCCCGCATTGTGAATCTTCCTGACGGTCCGCACGAATTCGCGCGGCGTCCGTCGCGCGTCGGAAATTTCCCCCCAGCTGCGTGTCGCACCCTCCGGCTCTTATTCGCACGTCCTCATCAGCGTCCATTAGTGCAATCGAACGCGACACTTCGATTAAAATGATCCTCCTGATATATTAAATAATTTCACGAGAACGCGTCAAAAGCGCGAGGGAAGGACCTGGCGCTTGAAGATATTCGTCGCTTCGAAGCTGCACGGCGGAGCCTTGAGACGAGAAATCGCGCATTGACAAATTTGACCGACCGAAAACACAACGACGGGACGGACGTTAAATCATATTTCGCTGCGTGCCAACATGTCCCGTATTGGCGGTGCTACGCATAAAGCGCTGCGAGACATGCGCGCCGCGATGACACACACACACACACACACGTGTGTCGCGATCTTAGCAAAAGACTCGAGCGTGAACGAGAGCCACTTGCCGGTAAAAGTAGAACGGGGACTTGCATCTATCAAGAGACGCACACCCTCGCGCATTGGTGCGAGATACAAATTGGTGCGTCGTCGTCGTGCACGCGCGAGGAACTCGCGCGAGATGGGGAAAAGAAAGTGCGAGAGCGAATTTTGATCGAACGTGACGCGGTGCGAAGCCATCGGAAAAGTGCGGCCTCAGCGCGAGACGTAGGCGTCGGCCAACAGTAGGTGTCGATAATATTTATTGGAATTATTTACGAGGAGGGTAAGCTTCCAGGCCTTTGTATCGAGTGGGCCGTAATATCGCCGAGGTCCTCGTCTGGTCACTCGCGAGTCGCACCGACGTGAGAACTTCGGCGCGAACGAGGAGTACTCGCAGATTCAGGCGTGAGTTGATCGACGATGATCGACGCGGTGTGTGTATGTGTATGTGTGTGTGTTGAAGTCGCCCAATTCAAAATATGCGAAACGACCAATTTCCTATGCTTTTAAGATCACTCCCTCAAAGCATGGAGATCAGGAGAGATTATTCGATAAGGCTGAACACGATGCAAAATTACGCGCCACTAAATTTTGCTCGGGTTTTTTCTCAATCTACTTCACCCTTTTCCGTATTTTCGTTGATTCCACTTTTTGCGCTCGCTGTGAGCTCACTCGTAACGTCCCGAATAACTCCCGCAACTATCCGCGTTCAATACGCGACGAGCACAATAACGCGATAATTTGGCGGAGCATTATCGGTCTAACGTAAACTAGAACGGCGCGGTAATTTAAATTCAAGGGCCGCGGGAACAATGTCGAGCGAACAAAGGCAATCTCGTCATAGAAATAAGCGGGACGGTCTACGTGTTACTACTAGGTTAGCGAATTCCCTGTGGATGGCTCGTAAACTCTTGACCATCCCCGAAATCGTGCGTGTCTGGAGAGAATGACCAGGCGGAACATCGAGCGCTCGAGCGCTCTCTATTAGGAAAACCATTGTCCACGTTTCTCGCTTTTGTAACGTCGGCATGAAATTCTCTTCGTGTTGAGAACTGTTGCCGAAAGAATCGTCACCGACACGTCGGGGCATGATTGACGAGGCGTGGTGAGCGCTCCGGATCATCTGTTCCTTCGATCCGTACTAATTAACGGAGAGACGATCCGGCCACGTTTGCAAGATCGCGAGACGAATCCACCACACGCGAACAGTCCTCGAGAACAAAGGCGGGCGGAAGTAGGAATAAGAAAAAGGGGGCCAGCGACCCGCGAGGGAGGAACATTTCTACGCGCTCATATAGAATCGCACGGGGGGAGGCCATATAGACTGCTATATGACCGCCTCGAGCTGATATACGCGCGACGTTATCCGTATCTACTTACTTCCTCGTTTGGCAGAAGACTCGGAGCGATCCGAAATGGGTCACCTACGCGGTGACCACTACGCGGGAAGACGTGTGACGGCGAGGACGACGACGACGACGACGACGACGACGACGACGACAATGACGACATTCATCGGTCGTCATCGGTGATTTTTTTCATTGTCGCTGGGAGATCGCGTAGTCGATTACGCGCGTGATACCAAAGGATAAAAAGCATCTCGAGCGCGGTTGCTGTTGCTGCAGAACGATCAGCTTTTCGTCAGATTCGTATCGTGTAGTTGTCCGGAGAGTGTAGTTATTAACACGCTGCGCGTGACGTGTTGCATACGTATGTTGCAAATTAAAACGGCCTTTCTTTTACTATCCGAATAACCAGCGCATTCCTCGGGACTATTTTCACGCAATTTATCATATGTATAGATGTTTCCTAACACACGGAGACTAGTTTCGATTGCGCGAGATCTCGGATGACAAATGAAGCGCGCACGTCCATC